CTGCCTTTTATAGGGGTTTTACAATCATGACCTCATGTTAGGAAGTTTGAAAAAACATTCCAGTTCTCTCAGTTCCCATCACAAATCATGGTCACAGGACAGCCTGATTTTAACCCAAAGATAGCATCTTCATTGCGGTTCGGATGTTTGTACTGGTGATGCGCGTTTCATCTGAACTCTTACAGTCATACGATTTACAGAAAGTTCAGAGTTTAGGGTCTAAGTGTACTTTGCTTGTAAGGAGATTACAAGCAATCTTATTTTATCTTATTATTATCTTATGTTATCTTATTTTAAACATCTGGTCTCACCCTGGGGCTGCAGCTAAGCACCTCTGGCGTCTGTTGATCTTATAACATTTTAAACTGGGGCTATGTATCTTCAAGCTTTGTAGTTAATGATGAAACCTCTGGTATTGTTGTCCTAAGAAACAAGCAAAGAAATGAATTACAGAAGCGAAAGACAGCGGTTATTCTGTATTCAGGAGGGAAAAGAATAGCCTTTTCATAAGTGGTACAGAGTCAATTAAATATCCTCATGGGGAAAAAACTCCTTCCCTCCATCCGTCCCTATTTCCTTTCTTTTGCTAGAGATTGAACCCAGCCCTTTACACTGAGCTACATCCACAACTCTTTTTTTATTTTGGCAATTTTTACTTAAATTGCCAAGGCTGAGCTCAAATTTGAGATCCTCCTGCCTCAGCCTCCCAGAGTGCTGGGATTCCAGGTGTGCACCACTATGCCCAGTTTGGGAAGCTGATTTTTAAATAGGATGCTAAAGTTTCTAATCATAAATGATCAATTGGAGTTCATTAGAATTAATATTCTGTTTATGAAAAACACTATTGACAGACTTAAGCCAGAACTTGGAGAAGATATTTATAACATATATTTGATAAAGGATTCATATATATCAGTAATAAAAAATATGGACAGATCAATTTTAAATTGGGCAAAAGAGTTGGATAATTTCATATGCAGTTCAAATAGAGATGAACGTGAAAGTTGCTCAACAGCATAATCATGAGGGAAATGCAAATTAATCCCATGATGAAATTCTACCTGTCCATTAGGATGGCTAAAATTAACAACAAAATGACAATGATGACAAAACAAAACTGGACAATTCCAAATGTTGAAGATGGAGTAACTGAAGTTGTTTTACATTGTTTGTTTTTTTGTTGTTTGTTTTTTTGAGACAGGGTTTCACTTTGTAGTTGAGACTGACCTGGAACTCACTAAGTAGCCCAGGCTGGTCTCTAACTCACAGCGATCCTCCTGCCTCAGCCTCCCGAGTGCTGGGATTACAGTTGTGTGCCACCATGCCTGACACGTTTTACATTGTTGATGGAAGGGTAAATTGATACTACCTCTTTAGAAAATTGTGAATTGTGTTGGTTGTCATGGTGTACCTGTAATCTCAGCTACTCTGGAAGCTGAGGCAGGAGGATTGGAAATTCGAGGCCAGCCTGGGGGACTTAGAGGATGAGAGAGAGAATATGAGGGAGAGAGAGAAGCTTGGGAATATTCTCTGAACTTAAAGTGCTGCCTGTCCGGTGGTAGAACAATTGCACTCCTGGGTGTATGTCCAATACAAATGAATGTCTTGTTCACCAAAAGGTATATACAAGAGAGCACAGAACAGCATTAGTTATAATAGTTAAGAAATGGAGCAGTAGCGCTCCTATCTATTGTGTGAAAGGGTTCGGTTCTATTCCCAGCCCTTAAAAAAACAACAGAAAGTGAGTCAGTCATCACCAGAATGAATTAATGAATTTGGTTTTTTTTTTTTACATTTCAATAGAATTTTAATGATGAACACCAATCCTTCTCAAACAGAAAGTTAAGAAACATTTCTAAAGTTGCACCATTATAATAATGCCATTATCACCCTGATACCAAAACCAGATGGAGGAGGGCCTTTGAGGACGTACTCATGATAACGTATATGCAAAAATCTTTAATGGAACACTTGTAAATCTAATTTAACGGCACATTCTGATTTTTTCCCCTGTATGTTTGTAGTATATTTTGAAATTGGTATTATGATGCTTCCAAGACCTGTCATGTAAAGGTACAAGATGTATGTAACTGTACTGAATTCCTAAAATTGTACCAATAAACTCAATGAGAAAATATATATATTATTTTGGCTCAGGATTGCAAGGCTATTCTGAATCTTTTGTGTTTAACCATGAATTTGGTACGTTAATACAGTGGAATATTATACAGCACAAAAAAGAACAAAGCACCAGTAAATACAACAGTATGTTGAATCTTACGAACGTAATGCTAAATGAAAAAAGTTAGATTTTTTAAAAAAATTTTTTCAGCTTTAATTGAGTTTATTGGTACATTTTAGGAATACAGTACAGTTACATTCATTGTTGGGATCTTGTACCTCTACATGACAGGTCTTGATTCTCATTTTTTCCCCTTACCTCTGCCCTCCCTTCACCCCCTCCTCCCCTCCCCATCTACAAACACTTTATTTTCATCTTTTCATTTTTTTCTTTTCCCTTATTACCCTTCCCCTACCCATCCCACCTTCCCTACACCTTTAGTTCCTTTCTTCTCATTTCTAAATGACAGTAATCTTATTAGGCTCTTATGTTTTATTGCAGATTATTCACACCAGGGAAGCTATTCGGTATTTACACATGTGTGCCTTATTTATTTCACAGTATATCTTCAATATGTATCCATTTTCCTATGAATAAATCTATTTTCTCATTCTTTATGGCTGAGTAATATTCCATTTTATAGAAAAACCACATCTTCTTTATCCAGTTTCCAACGAAAAGTTAGATCTTTTAAAAGTATATATTATCTGATTCCACTTACAGGATTTTCCAGAGGGGGCACACTGACTGTGGTGTTTGAATAACCTTGATGAAGACTCCCTGACAGGAAGTAGGAACAGGGATGGTTCTGTGCTCACAGGGCTAGAAATAGGCAGACTGAACTATTTTGCCTTCCCTTCCTCCCTACCTTGCCTCCTCGGTACTGGGTGTGAGAAATCCTAGCCCTGTCTTTTCTATCAAAAATAGGAACAAGCCAGTGTCTCCATCTTGAACTCTAATTCACTCTAGGCTGCCCCCACCTTTTTTTCTCTTCGCTCACACTAAGTTACGAAAGGCGTTTGTTCAATTTAGATTCCAAGAACAGAGCTGACAAAGATAAGTTGTCAACAGCCAGGGAGCTTCTGTCCCCCGTACCCCACTCTTCCTTCTTATCAACCCTGCCCAGCAACCCTTCGGGGCCTCCCTTCGCACGGCTTAAGCTAACCAATCAGGATAGGTTGTGAACCTTCAACCCAGTGATGGAAAGGGTCAGCTGCTTCTAGTGTTAAGGATAAAAGTGCGCTCTGCCCTTCTGCAGAAGTAAAACTTGCCTTGTGGAGATTTCGTGGTATCTGAGTGCTTTACTGTCTGCACTGGGGAATTCAGTCTGGGGGCGTATTTCCAACTTGGGGATGAACCCGAGGTCTTTACCTTCCCTGCTTCATTTTTTATTTTTTGAGATGATAAGATCTCACTGAATTGTTAAATTGCCCAGAGTGGACTTGAGCTTGCAGTTCTCCTGCCTCGGCCTCCCAAAGTGATGGGATTATAGGTACGGGCTGCCATGTCCAGCTTCAACAGTTTGTCTTGAATAAATCCTCTTTGATATGTTGCAAATCTTGTCTTAATTTCTAGAGTTCTGGGAAAGTTGAATTTGGTGATTTCTGCCTGGATGCTTACTGTTTTTATGACGTAACTGAGTTTGGGAAGCTCTGACTTCACTTTTCCTACTGGCGCTCCTCAGATGTGTTTCACCCTCGCAGTATGTCCTAGTCAGCTTGCACACCATGACAAAATATCACGGACTGCATGTCAAGCAGTCAGGCTGTGTCTGCACAGCTCCAGAGGACAGAAGTCTTGAGATCAGGTGTGGCCTCTTCCTGGCTGCCTTCCTGCTGTGTGTCCCCAGGGCTGTCCTAGGAGCGTGCTGTGCACATCTGTGCTCTTCCTCTGCTGAGGGAGAGCCAGTCCTGCAGATTGGGGTCCTAGTGCTGTGGCTTTATTAAACTGCTACTACCTGAGAGCCCTTTCTCCGAATACAGTCACCTTGTGGGTTAGAACTTCAGCTTGTGGCGGGGCATGGTGGTGCACGCCTGTAATCCCAGCACTTGGGAGGCTGAGGCAGGAGGATTGATTGCTGTGAATTCGAGACCAGCCTGGGCTACATAGTGAGTTCCAGGTCAGTCTCAACTACATAGTGAAACCCTGTCTCAACCCCCCCCAAAAAAAAACCAACAACAACAAAAGAAAAAGAACTTCAGCTTGTGAATTTGGGGAGGCCATGGCCCAGTGTCTTTGAGTTTGGGCTTGCTGTGTATCATGTGGTGAATAGACCACTCTGTTCTGTTTCAAACAGTGCAGTCCAGTAGTTGTGAAGGCATACCTCCTTAACATAGAAAAAATAAACACGTATTATGATCACTAAATTACTCTTTGGAGGATGGAAAAGAAGATTCTTGAGCGCTCTGAGAAACACTGTGATTCACAGAGGCCTATGTTGTGCATGACCCGGGCCGGCTCTGGTCGTGGTGATGAGGTTGCTCTTGCTCAGCCAGTCAGGAGACAGGAGTGTGGCTGAAGTGTGCGTCTTGTGACATAAACGGTAGCATGCTAAAGGTGTTTCGTTTCATTAAACTTTAAACTCAGAAAAGTCCACCTGCTGTAGATTTTAAAATATTACACTGTGATCTAAAGTTATTCTAATTACGAAGATAATAATTGCTTATGGAAAGAAACAGAATTGAGAGCAGAACCTACAATAAAACCAAGAGTACTTTTCCACCTAACCCCAGCTTCAAGAGTCCCTCTTCCAGACGGTGTAAATATTAGGATTCTTGCTTTTCACAGGAAGGATTCAAGTGGAAATTTCACAGAAAATTTCAATTCTCGGAATACGTTCATGAGCAAACATTTCAGTACTATTTTTGCTGTTTCCTAGATTTCTGCGCCTAATGAATTTGATGTCATGTTTAAACTGAAAGTCCCCCGAATTCAGCTAGAGGAATATTCTAACAGCGGTGCCTATTACTTTGTGAAATTCAAAAGAAATCCCCAAGAAAATCCTCTGAGTCAGTTTGTAGAAGGAGAATTTTTATCAGCTTCTAAGATGCTGTCAGAGTTTAGAAAAATCATTAAGCAAGAAATAAAAAACATCAAAGGTAAGACTTTTGACTTTGGATCCTCAAAGTTCTGATTCTACCTACTAACTGCCAGTACACTCGCTCCTGATGCCTCCTGACCTCTCTGCAGCTGGCCGAGTGCCCCCTCCTGCTGGAAACAACCCTGCCCTGGGCTTTAGCCTGCTGCGCCTTCTTGGCATTCTCAGCTGCTGACTGGCTCTGGTGTGGATTCCTTCAAGTCTTTCCTGTGCTGCTGCCGGAGCCGCAGGGTCAATGTGCTCTGACGGAACTGGGGGGTCCCTGATCGAAGCCGCAGCCTAGCGGGGCCACAGAGAGCTGAGGGCGCCAGACACCGAGCTGCAGAGGTTGCCCTGAGCGAGTGAACTGAGGGAGGCCATAGCATCTGGGGAGGAGCTTGGCCAGCTCAGGAACAACCAGAAGAAAGCAGAGCAATGCAGGAGGGTGGGAGGGAGAAGGGTAGGGCAGAGTGAAGACGGTGTGGTCGGCTGCACCAAAGGGTCCTACGCGAGGGAGAGACGGCTGGCAGAGGAGGCCGGAGACGGAATAATGCGAGAGCAAGAGGGGAGGGAAGGGGACGCGGAGCCTGCCTGGAGAGGGGCCTTTGACAGGAGGCGGGTGCTTCCCCAGTGTGACAGCGGGACAGGAGTTAGGACAGGTAAGAGGTGTGCAGACCTGCAGATTTCTTCAGCATTTTTAAATACAAGGAAAATAATTTGTATGTCAAAGACTCGAACACTGGTGACATATTAAGGTTAACAGAGTTGACATCGTGACACAGTAGGTCTCGAAACCCATGGATGATTAATCATGATTTCATTCAGCCTCCCCTTGAGTACACAAGGCAGTCGCTCTGGTCTACTCCCAACTCATTCCTGAGCGGGTGTCCAGCTGCTGGACTGGGGCTCCCTTCCATCAGTCCTGCGTGTCTGTTTCCTTTTTCTCGGGATAGGAATTGCTGCGCTGGTGCACTTCTCCAGCATTTTCTCCTCTGCTCAGTGTGGCTCCTCCTGGAAATCTTACCTGAGAGTCTTTCCTGCTCTTACATCCCTGGCTGCCAAAGCCACCTGTCCAGTTGGTGACTGCATCTGGGCGGGTAGAGCTCATGGCATCTAAAGTAGTTTGGTTCAGTGCAGTCATTCCTGCTGTGCCTTTGTTGTTCAACCAGTTCCCAGGTCAAAGTCCTCAGGTGCACCCGAGGCTGCCTTCTTCCTCCCCTCACACTGAGTGTCTCTTCTCCATGGAGGACAACCTCTCCATCGGATTGGATAGTTAGTTAAGCTACATCCCAGCCGTGGTTTGACCCCTGGTTGTCCCCTGCATCCCCTGGGGTCTCGAAGCTCGCTCTCTCTGTGTGGTGCCTCTGCCGTGGCTGCCTTCAAGCCTCTCCCTGTGACTCTTGTGGCCTCCACCTGCCATCCACAATTCTACAGGAGATTTACTGACGGTCGCCCACACCCGTCTTCAGATTCCGAAGGCATCCTGTCAGTGCCTCCCGATCCTAGGTGTCAGGAGAGGTTGGTTACTGAGTGAGGCCCTCTGCCTAGTGGGGCCAATTTCCGTTTTGGAACCAAAGTTCACTTTCTACTTGACATTTTGTAGATCCTCGGTTATACTTACAGCATTTCCAGGAAACATCAGATCTATAGACCTTTTCTTTCCATTGGTACATTTACACAGATGTCGCTATGGAGAGGAAAAAACTCGGGAGCCCTGCTGTAACACTGCTCATTGGAGAATCTGAGGAGATATCTGTGGATATAATCCTTGCTTTGGAACCGGAGGGTAGCTGGCCTGCGAGGACCAAGGATGGCCTGCCCGTCAAAAAATGGCTTGGAGGAAAAGTCAGGACTGAACTCAGACAACAGCCGTTTTATCTTGTACCCAAGCATGCAAAAGAAGGACAAAGTTTCCAAGGTATTTTGAATGTGAAGACACAAAAGAGTTGTTTGTGTTATATGTGAGGGATGCTGTTGGCATTGTGAAACCTGCCGGGCTAAATAGGCTGCAAGATGAGAGTTTGGTGAGAGATGGGACTGGAAGGGGCGTAGTTACTGTGCAAAATACCTGCACTTGAAATTCATGTTTGTTTGAGAGAGAGGCAGACGTGGCCTCGGAGTCGGACTGTTCAGGCTCTGAACCCTGGAACATCTCCTCTGACCAGCTGTACGGTCCTGACCTGGTGCAGGTCCCCTCTGAGGCCGTTCACACGTCTGCGCGCTGCGGTGATCAGAGCCTGTGCCTGTGAGGTCCTCACTCCACTCAGCTCACGGCAGCTCACTGTTTCGGCCCATACCGTCCTCAGCACCCGGCCGCTCACCCGCACCCGTTTCTCTGCTTCCCTTAGCATCCCACCTCCCAGCAGCCAGTGAACTCTCCTGCCTCAGCTGCCACATGGGCCGGGTCTGGGCTCTCCCTTTCCTCCGTGTCCTGGCCTCCCCGCTCAGGGTGGCCTTCAGGCTGTGCTGTGGGTAACGTGCACTTTCTAAGAACCAGACAGCTAAAACTGAGCAGGGGTGATATTTTCTCAGGCGCAGGAAACACAGTGGCTGGTTACTTTCATTTTCTCCCGTAAGTTTGATAAGCCAAGTTATAAATGAGTATTGTTGGAAAAGGTCCAGGAATAGTCAGTTATTCTTAGTTTGATGATTTGCATTTTTGTGCACACACATTACAACTCCTTTTTTGTATTGTTTTAAAGACAAATCACTATGTAGCCCAGGCTGGCCTCAGACCCTGCTGATCCTGCTAAGTCTCCCGAGGGCTATAGATAATGGGCAGGCACCACACCCCACAAAGGACTTTTCATATTGCATAAATATGAAAGTCAATTTCTGCAAGAAATAGTTTATGAGAAGGAGTTACAAATAAGTTTTTAAAAAAAGAAAGAAGGAATTGCGCATTGCAATTTTCATGGGTTTTCAAAAAGAACACAGTTTGTGCAAAGAGGAGCTGCACCCCTGACCACTTTCTTGGCTCTCCCAAGAAACCGCCCTTGTCTGTCGAAACAGAAACCTCAGCAGGACCCATTCCCACCTTGCTTGCTGATCCTCTGCTGCCTTGAAGAAAAATGGTAGATCCTTCAGTGTGCAGAGGAAAAAGAGTCCGTTACAGTCTCGTGGCCCTGGGTCACCCCTCACATCTTTGCACGAAGGTGACAGACTGAAGGTGGTGAGGGTGCTCAACTCCAACTCTGCTGTCTGTTCACACTGGCTGTTCTGGCTGTTCTGCATCTCTCAGCATAGCAGACTCTGCCTTTAGACCAGTCCTGTGTGTGTGTGTGTGTGTGTTTGTGTGTATGTGCACTTCAGTGACTGAACAGCGAGGCTTAGTGGCAGTGAAAATACTTACACTGCTCTGGAAACACTCAGGCTTTGGCTTTTCTCCTTCCAAATGTTTTCTAGAAATATCACAAACTGTATGTTTAAAAAAATATCCTAGCTGGGCATGGTGGCGCACACTTGTAATTCCAGCACTCAGGAGGCTGAGGCAGGAGGATTGCTGTGAGTTCAAGACCAGCCTGGGCTACATAGTGAGTTCCAGGCACATAGTGAGACCCTGTCTCAAAAAACAAAACAAAACAAAACAAAATCCTAATTTTCCTAGGCTGTGCTCAAACTTGTGATTGTCTGGCCTCAGCCTCCCAAGAAGCTGGGTTTACAGGTGTGCATCATCACGCCCACCCACTTTTTTTATGGTTTCTGTTTTTAGATACCATTGTTTAAATTTGAATCTAATTTTGTTTCATAAATTTATAATGCATTCATTTGCACGGTTCCCAAGTCAAAACAGTAGAAATAGGTATTCCTAGAGAAGCACATCTTCTAGGCATCTCTGCATTCTTCTCTTCTTCTTGAGAATAAAGACTTAATCTCCTTTAGTTTACCCTTCATTTAAAAAATAACATGATATGTACAGACATAGTAACATCTCTGTTCACAAATCAAATGTTTCTGTTCATCGCCGCTTCGGTGACCAATACCACCTTGGCCATCTTCCCCCAGTTGTGGAATGAATTAAGTTTTGGGTTTTTTTTTTTGTTTTGGGTACCGGGGATCGAACTCTGGTCCTTGTGCTTGCGAGGCAGGCAGCATGAATTAAGTTTTTGAACCAAGGCACCACTGGTATTTGTTTACCTCTCTCCCAGTCCCTGAACACGATATTGTGGCTGTCAATCCATAGCTCAGTAGAGATAACAGCCTTCCTTCCTTTCTATATTTTTTTGTACTGGGGATTGAACTCTGGTCCTTGCTCTTGGGAGGCAGGCAGCAGAACCACTGAGCTACATCCCTGGCCCTTTCTTTTTATTTTCATTTGGTGCTAGGGAGTGAATCCAGCACTTGAATCCAGAGATGAGTACATGCTAAGCCTTCTTCCTGACACTGAGCACCCTTGGGCAACATCCATTCCTTTTTTGAGTCTGTTTTTGTTGCTGGTCAGAGTGAATCCGTAGGTAATTTTACTAGATCCCAGCAAAATCCCCTCCGTAGGCATTGTCCCAACTTGCATTTCACAGCAGTGCATCTGTATAACTTGGGGAGAGGGGTGGACACTGAGAAGAGTTTGTTTTCCTGCTCTGGAGACGTAACTGAGGGCTTTGGCCATGCTAGGCAATGCTGTGCCCTACCACACTGAGCTACACCCTCAACAGAACTTGTTAAACTTTTTGCTGGTTGGAATATTTGCTAATAATCCAACAAGGGAGAAGTGATATCTCAGGGTAATTTAAAAAAAATAAATGTCATTCTAGAAAGTTTTAGATTTGCAGAAAATGTACAAAGATTGCACCGAGTTCTCATGTAGCTTGAAGCTGTTCCCCTGCTAACATTCTGACGTCCCTAGGATTCATTTGTCACAGCTGCCAAGCCAGTATGGACACACGGTTGCTAATGGGAGGTGCGTGCTTTACCCAGATCTCCTTGGTCTTTCCCAGTGCCCTTTACTTGTTTTAGGGTCCCATCTGTGACTCACTCATTGTGTGTCCTTAGAGTCCTCTTGCCTGTGACTGTGTCTGTGTTCCCTTCTTTTCTTTTTTTATTCTTTAAGTTTATCGGTACATTTGAGGTACACAACGGGATGACATTCATCATTGGGAATTTGTACCTTTACATCATGTATCTTGGCTCTTATTTTTTTCCCCATTCCCCTGCCCTCCCTTCAACACCTCCACCCCTCCCTATTTACAAAGTTTGTTTCCATTTTTTATTTTCTCATATTTATCCCTTTCCCTTCCCCCTCCCACTTCCCCTTTGGACCTTTTCTTCCTAATTCACACTATCAATTATACATTTTAGTCCTTATTTACACTTTCAGTTTCTCACACTACAGAAACTATTTGGTATTGACACACATGTGTCCTGTTCATTTCACTTGAGTATGGCCTCAATGTGCATCCAGGAAATTAAAGAGGAAATCAGACAGTTTCTACAATTAAATGACAACCTCAGTACAACATGTTGGAATTTATGGGACATAATGAAAGCTGTCTTAGGAGGGAAATTCATCGTAGTGAATACTCATAAAAACAGAGCCCGCTCAAATAAACAACCTGATGCTGAACCTCAAACTTCTAGAAAAAGAAGAGCAGGACAAACCCAAAACTCACACAGGGAAGGAAATTATAAAGATCAGAGCAGAAAGCAATGCAATGGAGACTAAGAGAGCAATACAAAAAAATCAATGAAGCAAAGAGTTGCTTCTTCAAAAGAATAAACAGAATCGACAAACCCTTAGCCATCACTGCCCAAAAAAGAAAAGAAAGAAAAAAAGAAAAGGCACAAATCCGTGCAATTAGGAATGAAAAGGGTGAAATTGCAGTGGATCCTTTGTTTTTCTTGGCCTTGGCAGTGTTGAGGAATGTGGGTCAGCAGTGGTGTAGGAAGCCCCTACCCTGGGTTTCCTCTGATGATTTTCCTGTGATTAGACTGAAGTTAGGGTTTGGGGATGAGGTCACCGAGGTGAACACCGTGCATCCTCCTCCCCTGAACACGGCTTAGCGCCCCCAGTGTTGCCCTTGATCACCTTGCCCAGACGGTGTTTGTTCAGCGTCTCCACTGCTGAGTTCTTTTCCTCCTCACACTGTGTTATTCCGAAGGAAGTCATGTGCACAACTCTCCACTAAGTGGTGGAGTCACTTGTTTGATTATTGATTTACCATGGTTTGACTTAAGATGTTTGAATTCACGATGATGTGAAAGCAAAACTGATTCAATAGAAACTAATGAGAAGTTGGGGTGGGGATTTAGCTCAGTGGTGCTGCCGCCTAAGGACTGGAGTTCAATCCTCAGTACCAAAAAACAAAACAAAACAAAAACAAACACAAACACAAGAAACTAATGAGAAGCCAGGTGTGCTGGTGGATGTTCAGAATCCCAGCAAGTCAGGAGGCTGAAGCAGGATGATCTCAAGCTGGAGGCCAGCCTGGAGAACTTAGGGAGATCATCATAAGATAAATAAAATAAAGTAAAATAAAAGGCTAGGGATGTAACTCAGTGGTGGGTGTTTGCTTAGCACGTGAGAGGCCCTAGATTCATTCCCTAGCAAGCCCCCCTACAAAAAACAAGGAAATAAATTATGCTTTGAAGTTTGATCACTTCTTGGGCTAGTGATGTGTGATGTGATACTGTCTCCTGATGCTGGCAGGGCAGTGAGCGACAGCTGTTGGCGACAGACTCTGAGGGACAAACAGCCTTGGTCATGCACGAAGTTGCCACCGTTGTATCGGTGTGGGTGTGATAACCCGAGATGTCAAATAGACTTTGTGGCGGATGCTCTGCCCAGCTGGAGGTTCACGTAACTGGTCTGAGCACGTTTAAGGCAAACTGGGCTAAGCCAAGATGGCCATTGGGTTAGGTATATCGCGTAGGCACTTTCAATTCACAGTGAGTTATCTGGACACTGGGTTCCCCCCGTAAAGTCATTTGTCTTTCTCCCCCATTTATTTATCCAGTCACTTTTGATGATGTCAGTTTGGACTCCGGGCCCTGTTTTATTTAGTTGATAGCTCAGATTTGCCTAGCCGTAGCTGTTAGGAGCTTTTGGAGTCACCTCTTGACACACGCCCCTTACACTTTGTTTTGACCACTGCTTCCCTTGCTAACTCTGCGGGATCCAGACGCGTCCGGTTCCTGTCCTGCTCCTGTCCTAGAATGAGTCGTTTCTCCAGGAGCCCTGGACCCTCATATTGGAGAATGTTCCCGAAACCACGACCTCAGTGTCACTACTGAGTCTCATCCCCCTTAGCTGGGGACAAAGGAATAGATAGGTTGTCTGTGAGTATTTCTGTACCTCATCACCCGCATTGGTCACATCGTGTGTGAATCCCTAATGATGTCTTTACCCCATTGCCAGGAGTCACTCTAGCCTCACTCATGCCACCTGTCCCCTCCCATGGCAAATGTAAAACCGCTGGCCACACTGTCTGCCGTTGTTTGAAGCTGGTACACACATGTAGTGTTTTGGAAGTGATGACCTGTTTCCCCATGGGAAACTTACCACCTAGAGCACAGTTCTCATGAAAACTTCCCTCTGCCCTCAGTCTTACACACTTTCTGCCGGGCATGGTGGCGCACGCCTATAATCCCAGCACTCGGGAGGCTGAGGCAGGAGGATCGCTGTGAGTATGAGACCAGTCTGGACTACACAGTGAGTTCCATGTCAGTCTCAACTACATGGTGAGACCCTGTCTCAAAAAACAAACAAACAAAAGTCTTACACACTTTTCTAACTGACACAGTAGCCGAGGGCAGCACTCCCCTCTCCCACTTCGTGCAGACTGTATCATGCATTTTAATACAGCTGAGTTTCTTTTCACAGTCTCCATTATTTCCTCAGACCTCCTAACTTATTTTTATTTCTGTTTTTGTGTTTTGGTACCGGGGATTGAACTCAGGACCTTGTGGTTGCTAGGCAGGCACAGTACCACTGAGCTAAATCCCCGGCCCCTCCTAGCTGATTTTTGAGGACTTGCCTACACTGGGGCTCGCTCTTTGTGCTGTAAAGTTCTAGTGATTTTCACAGACGCATTCTGTTGTGCGTCTGCCTGCACATAACACTTTCACTTCAGTGAGACCTCTGTGCTTTGAAACTCAACCTTCCTCATCCCAGACTGCTGGCAGCCACTGATCTGCTGATCATGTTCTGGTTTTTCTTTCCTGAATATCATAAATGGAGGGTCACACATGAATGTCTTACAATAGCAACAAGGGCATCTAGCTGCGCGTCTTCCTTTCCATATGTTTGCTGCCCACGTGCGTCCTGCACTCTGTTATGTCTCATCTTTTCTTTGGCAGTACTAGGGAATCAAGCGCAAGAGCACTATACCCGAGATACATCCTTTGCACCCTTGCACTTTTACATTTTTTATTTTGAGACAGGATCTTGCTCAGTTGCCCAACTGGAACTGAAACTTGCACTCCTCCTCCTCAGCCGCCTAAGGCTACGGTTGTGGTTATGCACCGCGACGCCTGTCCAGCCTTTTTGTTCAGATGGGTCTTGACTTTTCTGTACAGAGGTTTTCTGATCTTTTGTTAGATTTAGTCATAGGTAATTGACTTATTTTGAAACTTTCTATTATGAACAATTTTAAACCAATAGAAAATAAATTTAAACTCCCAACAATAACCAAATTGTTATTTGGTTACGGGTGACCAGTCTGTTCATTTCTCTATCTTTCTTCTTCTTCTTCTTTTTTTTAGTACTGGGGATTGAACTTGGGACCTTGTGCTTGGGAAGCAGGCGGTGGCACCACTGAGCTAAATCCCTGGCTCCTCTTATTTTGAGGACAATTCAAGGCCCATCGTTTCATCTTTATTACTTTAGTATATATCTCTAAAGATTAAAATTTACACATACTAGTTTTGCATCTAAAGCAATTACCTAGTCATTGTTCGAATTTTCACTTGTCTTGTGTCATATTTTTCTCCCCCTTCAGTTGGGAACCAAATAAGTTTTGCTCTGTGGATGACTGAGATGTCTGCTACCCTCTCTCCCCTTTGGCAGTACTGAGGGTGAAGCCAAGGGTGCTACAGCAATGATCTGTGCCCCCAGCCTTTAATTTTGTTTTAACATTTCAAGACACAGGGTCTCAGTAAATTACCCAGGCTGGGCTCCAACCTGTGATCTTCTTGCTTCAGTCTCCCAAGTAGCGGGGTTTATCCATGTGAGCTACCATGTCCATCTAAGTATCTTAGAGCTTCCGCCTCCTCCTCCTCCTCCTCCTCCCCCCCTTTCCCTTTTGAATTTAATAAAGTAAAACATCATTTCCCTTGTAGAGTTTCCCATTAGTAGTTCTGTCCAGAAGTTAATTGATGTTCTTCATGTCATTGTAAATGATACCATTTACCATTTTTCATTTGTGTTTTTCATATATAGAATACATTTGATTTTTCTTTTCTTTTGGTACGGGGTGTCGAACTCAGGACCTTGTGCTTATGAGGCAGGCATGGAGCCACTGAGCTAAATCCCCAGCCCTACATTTGACTTTTGCATCTGCAATCTTATTTGTGAATTTATTTGTGGTTCTTTTGTATTTTTCTGTGTATAAGTATGTCATCTACCTGTAGTGAGGGCTTTGCTTCTCCCTTTCCTGGGCAGTAACCCTGTTTTCCCTCCTTAGGCGTCTGTGGGGATACCCAGTGCAGGGACAGGGACGGCAGACTTCCTTCCTTCATCCCGATTTCAAGTTGCCTTCAACTTGACCTCATATTATCATGTTGCTATCGTTCTCTGAAATCTCCTTTTTGCCAGGTCAAGTTACCATCTAGACAGAAATTGCTGAGAGGCACTTCTTTGTTTCAAATGATGAACGGATACAGAATTTTATTTGCTTATATGCATTTTCTGCATCTATTGAGAGGATGTTATGATGTTTCTCTATTCTGGTATTGTGACATACTCTGTTGACTGATTTTTAAATTAAATAAATCATGCATTATCGATATAAAACCAACTAGGTGCTAGGATGATTGGAGGTTAAAGAGCCCCGGTAAGTCTTAGGGGAAAAAATCATTCTATTCAAACTTCACAGAAAGTAGAAAGAATGGAAACTTTTCCCAAAGCATTTTATATTAAGACTAGAATTTTCCAGGATCATATGAAACATTGAATCATTATTATTATTATTTTTTTGGTTCCGGGGATCGAAATGGGGTCCTTGCACTTGCGAGGCAGGCCGCAACACCACTGATATCATCATCATCATCATCATCATGATTTTTCGGTACTGGGGATCAAACTCAGGACCTTGCACAAGCCAGGCAGGTGCAGCACCACTGAATGACATCCCCAGCCCAATTATTCATCATCGTCATTGTTGTTGTTGAGACAGGCTCGCACTCTGTAGTTCAGGCTGGCCTCGAACTCATGGCAATCTTCCTGCCTCAACCTCCCGGGTGCTGGCATTACAGGACTGTGCCACCAGGCCTGGCCATTGATTCAAACTATTATGGAAACAAAACATTAAACTGAACATAAAAGGTAATAGATCTCACCTTGGCTAACTATGGTAAGCTTGGAAACGCCCACCTTCCCATTTTTTCCCCATTTGCTTTATAGCACTTGCATTAATCTATCTATCTATCTATCTATCTATAGATATCTATAGATATCTATAGATATGTATGTATGTTTGTTTGTTTTTTGAGACAGGGTCTCACTGTGTAGTTGAGACTGACCTGGAACTCACTATGTAGCCCAGGCTGGTCTCGAACTCACAGCGATCCTCCTGCCTCAGCCTCCCGAGTGCTGGGATTACCGGTCTGCGCCACCACGCTCGGCTACTTGCTTTGATATATGATTACATTATGTGCCTGTTCACTTCTTTACTCTGTCTTCCTCCGGAATGTCTTCAGGATCATATTTTAATAAAGATGCAACACAACTTAATGTTGTTTAAATGTAAATCCTTTTAGTAAAGCACTTTTCTATTCTTCTTTTTGAAATTAAGAAGAGACATGGCGGCTGTCTTTCTCTCACATTGAAAAATACATTTTGAGCCATCATGGAGACTCTAAAAAATGTTGTGAAGCTGACGGAGTAAAATGTTGCAGGTACTGTTCTTATTGTGTTATGTCTACTTCTTTGTTGACTCTGTAGCTCAGACCTGAAGATGGTCATTGCTGGGTTGAGTTGGGGGAGAGGGCAGAGCTGGGGTGACCTGGGGGAGGTGGGCATATTAACGTCATGTCATAGGAGGAAGATGGGGAATCTCTCTTACCAGCTACTGGTGCTTGTTTTGGGGTGGTTTTGCTAAGTTGAAAGCTAGGGATGATGTCTGGCTAAACTTGAAACCACACTAACTGGGTAATGATTTTTTCTTGGTACCATATGTGCCACAAAGAAATGAGGTTTAAAAAAAAAAGGAATTATTCATTTGAGTTTCGGAATTTGGTCAGTATAATGAGAAATAAGACAGGTTGTAAATAAATAAACATAAATGTTTTTTTTTAATTTAACAGGAAGGACTGTTTAAAATTAATGAAATATCTTTTGGAACAGCTGAAAAAGAAGTTTAATAGACAAGAACTGTCTGAATTTTGCTCTTATCACATGAAAACAGCATTCTTTCATTTATGTTCCAAGTACCCACTGGACAGTGACTGGGATCCCAAAGATTTACGCCTCTGCTTTGATAACTGTGTGGCATTCTTTCTTGAGAGACTCAGGAAAGAAGAACTTGAGCATTATTTTATTCCTGGAGTTAATTTCTTCTCTCAAGAATACATTGACACAAAATGTAAAGAGTTTTTGGCAGAGAAAATTGAATATGAAAGAAACAATGGATTTCCAATTTTTGGTGAATTTTGAAATTATATTCTAAAAAAGAACCAAGAATTACAATGACTAATAATTGAGATTGTCACAGAAACTATGGACTAATTAACTATTCCGTTCCCAATTTGTCATAACCAACCCTAATGTAAGGAATTTCCTGGACAAAAAGATTAATTAAGGAATTAGATAAAGCCTGTTTTTTGTTTTGTTTTTTTTTTTGGTACCGGGGATCGAACTCGGGCCTTTGCACTTGCAAGGAAGGTGGTGGAACCACTGAGCCAAATCCCAGGTCCAGGGAATTAGAAAGAAAAGAAGTATTTAAAATCTCAAAATTTTACTGGGTGAGGTGCAGTGGTACGTGCCTGTCATCCCACCTACTGAGAGGGCTGAGGCAGAATCACCCTGAGGATTGCTTGATTCCAGAGTTTGGGACCATTCAGGGCTACATAGCAAACTATCAAAGAAAAAAATAGATTATGAAATACAAACTTTACCAGATTTGAGAGGGACAAAAGGCATAAAATGCATATCTTCCCCAATAAAATTCATCAAGCACTTCCTGAATACCAGTCATCACCTAGAACAAGTATGTGGAAGGTTGTGAGAGAGAGTTATTAGAAATGACCACTACTCAGAATGCAGGTGCAGCTTAGCAGTGGAGAACATGCCTCGCATACACAATGCCCTGGCGTGAATCCCCTGCACTGAGGAAGAAGAAAACGAAGATGAAGGAGAAAGTAAATGATCAGTGCTTTCACAAAACTGTAGACTTTTCAACTTACAGAAATATTTGTGAACAATACTCTGCCATATACAGGAGGACAGGAAAGAAGGAAATGAAAATTTAATTCTATATTATCTCTTAGGAAATACAAAAATCTTTTTTTTTTTTTTTTTTTTTTTTTTTTTTTTTTTTTTTTTTTTTTTTTTTTGTACCAGGAATCAAATTCAGGACCTTGAGTTTGCAAGGCAGGTGGCAGAGCCACTGAGCTAAATGCCTGGCCCAGGAAATACAAAAATCTTGTGGGAAAATATAGAGTACTTTATAACATATAGCTAAATATAACAAAACTTATTTTAAAAATTTCTTTCTTTCTTTTTTTTTTTTTTTTTTTGGTACCAGGGATTGAACTTGGGACCTTGCACTTAC